TTTGAAAATGGAGCTTTGAGTGAATTTGGTAGATGGAGAGAATTGAGAGATTTTTTAGCAAGGTGGATTTGGCTATAAAAAGCTTGAAATTTGAATGAAATGAGAGCTCTATTTATAGATTTTTAGGATTGGGATTAGTGGTAATTTGGTAATTGATTCTTGGAGCCAAAATTTGAATTAATGATAACTCTTTCAAAAATTAGAGCCAAAATTTGAATTAATGATAATTCTTTTTAAAAATGAAAGATTGGCACTAAAATTGAATTAATGATACATCTTTCAAAAGTGAAGGAAAATTGGAGCCAAAATTTGACAAGTTTAAAATGCTGATTTTTTTTAATTTTCATGTTGTGCAATCGATTGCACTACAGTGCAAATCGATTGCACAATGTGTTTTTTTCAAAAATGGCGCAAAATACACTATGTGCAATCGATTGCACTTTATGAGCAATCGATTGCATCAGTGAAAAAAATGAAAATTTTTAATTCTTTTTCTTTGCAAATAGAGATTTTAGGAAAATAATACCAGAAATCCTTATTTGTCAGATGCTTCGACTTGGTACCTACAAAACAAAAATATACAAAGACAAAGACAAATATTTTTTTGTATTTTTTATTAGAATTTAGTCAACAACACATATACAAAATACACAACCAAGGTGCTTGGAGATTCCTCAAGAGTAAACATAAAGATAGGAAAAAAGAGGAAGAACCAACCCTAATGTGATCTTGTTATGATCGAGTTGATATGATATGATAGAGGAATCTTAGGGGCAAAATTTGGGGTAACAACACCTATGAAAGCCAATGTTCATTCCATTTTGTATCATGATTCTTTTGATCATGGCTGTTAGATTATTATCTGTTCCATAATTATGGTGTCGAACCTACTGTATCAGTTCGTCAGCATTTTGGTTTCTATTTACCACCATTACACCTTGATCGCCATCTCTAGGGATATGTGGGGGAAATATGGGTATTTCGACCCTAGGTTGTTCGATTTCCACTTTGTGGTTCCTCCTATCTAGCTGTGGGTTTTGGTTAATGGTTACATCTTCTTCTAAGACTATACCTTGATTCTCTCTTATTGGCGCTCTTTGGGGTTGTTGAATAGGTTGGGGAACCCCAAAAAATTTAGCCATGCGCGTCATCTGCACTGACATTTGTTGGTTCGACTTGGTGGTATTTTGTATTAGAGGGTTCAACATTGTACTCAGAGTTTGGGCCAACATTTGTACCATATCATGGTTGCTTTCATCCATCTGTTGCCTTAAAATTGCCGCGGAAGCATTTGTGAGGATTGGTATTGCATGGGATACCCCTCCTAAGAGTTGGTTTCTACCCAAATTCGCCATACCAATTCCAGATCCCTGTAATGGCGAAGACGCACTTACCAAAGGTTCTGAAAATGTAGACGTAGCGTTCATAAGACTAGCCATTTCAGTAGATGGCATGCCATAAGGCTGGTCTCGACCCATCCAGGCTGTCAAAAATCCTGGGGGAACGTATGGTCGAGATCCTGGATTCACCCTTGGTGGGGGTGTTCCTGATGGACCTCTGGGACCTGCACACGAAAGTATTGGTCCTGTTTGAGTTGTTGTTAATGTTGGTGCGAACTAACGGTTGACGAGATAGTTTCACTAAAGGTTGGTATAATCGATGTTCCCGTAGTAATTGGTGGAGGTATTTCTCCATTATTTGGCTCATTAGCCATTTCACTTTCACTATTTCTCCTTCTAGTTGTACACTCGTTGGTGGTTAATTTACCACTTCTTAATAGCATACAAGACTTTGTAAAAGAAAGGAAATTATGCAAAGCATTTATGTTAATATAAACAAGCAAAACAAAAAATAAAAATTAGCAACGTCCCACCAGGTGTGCCAATTTATTTGCCATGTTATTCAGTAAACAACTGTTGATCTTCTAAAAAGGCTAATTTTTGGGTTACTCGCAGGATCAATCAGTTTGATCCTAAGACATATGCTAATTATTGGTGTTGTTTGGACATAAATGTTAATATAAATAAAGAACACATGTTCGACTGAGAAAGATTGAGGTTTGAAATGAGTTTGAGTGTAGAAAGTAAATAGAAAAGGGGTTGAGAAGAGTTTAAGTGCAGGAATCTGATAAAAAGTGCTAGTAAAGTGAAAGGGGAATAGATGTTTGTAAGCAAGATAAAAAGGCAAGGAATGTAAAGAGAAATGTAAAAGACTTTGATTATAAAATATGGTGTTTCAAACGTACATTTTCAGTATTCTTTCTCACGTAGCGGGTACTCGAATAGTATTGAATGACTTGTATAGTTAATTGAACACACGGAAATCTACATAAACTTCCTATATTTATACTAAAAACTAGGTAACCATCGAGGAGTTGCTTTGCTCTAGGATGAGGACAAGTGTCTTCTGCATATGCTTCGACCTCTATCTTCATGCCACATTAATTTTCTCAATTGCTAAGCGAACTGCTTTTCCCTCCTTTCTTCAGATTCAAAATCACCTGTTGCTGATACGAGGTTTCCTTTTAGTTGAAGGCCCTGGAGCCCTTTCAGTCAAAGGCCGCAAGAACCTTCTGGTCGAAGATTAACTTTAACTCAGAAATTTCTCTAAGTATATTCGCAATCTGTCGAAGTATTTCCAGCTTAGATTTGTTCAATATGTTTTTGGCCTATAAGGTCAATTTGTTGTGGGTGTCGAATTTAGGAGCTAACACCTATCCTCTGATTTTGTTGAAGGATGAGGGCGCTGATCTGATTTAAGGCAGCGAGCAGTGCTGCCATGGTCGGGTCGGCGTTGAGAGGGATAGGAACCGGTTGCAAGATTTCTGGTAGTTCCTCAGCAGGATTCTTGGAGCGTCTTTCGTCCAAGAGTTGATCGTCACCACGCCGGGCATCAGTGGAATCAGGGGACGCAATTTGTCTGTCACGGGGGCCCAGGTTGTCCTCAAGGCGAGGGTGTTCCTGGCCTCCATCAGTCTTGCGAGCATGGGAAAGGATGGTCTTTCCGGACAGTAAGAGATCATTATAGTCGGCCATGATATGAGAGATGAATCTTGAAAGAAGAGTTGCTTTGATCTTAGGTTCTGAGGGAAGAAAGATGGGGATAACAGTTTCCCACAGACGGTGCCACTGATCTTGCGGTTGATCAGAACCTGGAGAGTGGCCGGAGGATGATCTTCAGTCGGGTAGAGGATAGAGGGGGTTTGTACCTGTAAGGTACTCCAACGATCAAGTAAGAGTGGGAGCAAGGAGGTACTAGCAAAATATCAGGTAGTGAGTAGTGAATATGTGATACCTGACCCTCAAAGGTGTGAGGGTTTATATAATGCCCCTGACGCGTGACCATTGGTTCCTGATTTCCCGCCTAGATATGGGGGTCCAGAAAATCAAGTAATTGTCGGGACTTGGTCAAACCGGACAGATGTGCATGTAGCTAGCTGTTGGTCCCCGGGGGAGGGTTGGTTACGGGTATCCCCTGGTCGATTCCTGGAGGCCCGTACAACGTTGGTTCGGGCAGGCTGAGGAGATGCTCGAAGGGCATCTTGGGTTGGTGTTGGGCCAGAAGCACAGGACGGGAGGCATTGCTCGACAACGTGCGAGCAGCCTGGGCAACGACCAACGATTGACACTCATGAGATTTCTTAGACTGAGACCAATCAAATTGTCGGACCAGTCCAAAACAATAATTAATTTACAGATAACTTAAAATGATATTCTATTATTATTTTATGAAGATTTGTTATTTTATAAAAACTAAAAATAATAACAATTTTAATTTTAACTAATTATAATAAATATATTATTAATATATTTTATTTTTCTATAATTTAAGATTTCTAATAAATTGTAATAACTTTACATTTTTTTAATAATAATTTTTTCTTTTCTTTTAAGTCATCTTTCATGTCCGTTTGTTTTCTAATTTTTTATTTTTATAATATTTCTTAAATTTATAATATTTTTTGATCTGATATGATAAATGATATGATGGAATAATTTTATTTTTAAAATTTAGTGAGTAAATATTAAATATTTAAAATACTAAGTACATCTTAAAGTTTATATTAAAATTGTTAGTAAACTTTATAAAAATTGTAAATATAATATAAACAGACGAATTTAAAATTGATATTTGACGGTAAGTTATCATAAATTTTAGATGTTAAAGCAAGTAGATGTGAATGTATCGATGAGATGTCAGATGTAGACCGTTCATTTTAATAATCATCTCTAAAATAATTTTCGCTGTTATTTATATAATTGAAGTTAAAAAATCTAATATATAATTTTATTATAATTACGAATAAATATTTAAAAATTAATATATATTATTAATTTATATTTATAATTATATAAATATCAACTAATTAAATAATTAATTCATACTTTAAAAGAACCAGTGCAATAATACATATATCGTACTAGTTTGCTGTAAACTCAAATATATCCAGCCGTTAGAATTTAACCGAAATTATTTCACCATTAGAACTCCATCATTTTTACTATAGACAATGTGATGTGAGTTCAAAAACACATAAATAGAATTAAAAAATTAGTAAAATATCTACTATCATTTCCTAATACTAAATTTCCGCAACTCATTTCACACTTTATAGCTTCTGATTCATTAAATAGTCATCTAGAATTGAAAAAATATATATCTAAAAGCATAGCTTCCCATTAAGAAAACCACCATAAAATAAAATATAAAAACTTCACCATAAAGAAAAATTATCCTTCTAAACTTTTTAAGTATTTATGAAAAAACAGAGTGCTAATGTAAAACAATACAAGGAATAGGGACTGATTTGATAATATCATAATAGTCCCAAAGGATGGGAAAACAATAAGGTATGAATAGCAGAAGAAAAAAAACAATGGTAAATGTGACTCAGTTTTTGAACTTGTTGCCAGGAAAATCTCCCCCGTCCATCAATCTCTGATAACACTATATAACCTACTCTTAATCGTAGAGTAGTTTTTTTTCTTTCTCTTCCACGGTTACCTTGTAGTGGTAGGAGAGAGAGCGTGAACACTCCTCTGTGCAACCAAACAGCATAAGAATCCTGCACCAGCTAACCCTTTATTTCCCGTCAATTCTCTCACTCCGTTCCAATCCTGCAACGCCGTCGTTTTCGGTGACGAAGACGACGTTGAAGACTCCGTTTCATCTACTGATTCCGCACAACAAGTATCATTATCGCAAGATTCACTCGAAATTTCATCTCCGGCCACCGTCACTTTCCGTTTCATTTCCGGTAATTTCCTCCGGCGGTCTTTTATCTTTTCTCCCATTAGGTCACGGTAACCTATCGCCGATATTTTCTCCAGTGCCGGAAAATCACAACCGTCTACCACCATTGCTCCGATGTTCATCACGCCGTAGAATCTCCCCGATGGCCGACGGATTTGAACTGCGCTGAAGCAAGGACTTCTGTTACCGTTACCGTTACCGATGCTGGAGTCGAAGAGAGAATATTGCTGACGAGGAATCTAACTGTACCGACTATGTGATCACGGAAAGTACCAACTGCGTAGATCGCTACACAGACGCCGGCGGTTTCGCTGGCAAGAAACTCCGGCGTAACGCGGAAGAGAAACTTATCGTTCCATGTAGGATTCAGGCCTCCGATTTTGTCGACTCGAGTTCGGAGCTTGGTGGAAGAATCGATCCACGTGAGAGCGTAGGTTTGAAACTTTCTCCGTGGTGATGACGGTGGCTTCAAGCCTTGTGCTGAGATCAAGTTGATCTCTAATACTAGCCGCGTCTTCGCCGGAGACGCCATTGATTATTATTCTATTACTCTCTCGTTCTGGAGCCTTACCGGATCATCTTTTTCTCTTTCTTCAACTTCCGGCGAGTTGAACGGGCATGATGAATCAAGAAAAGATCAACGGTGGTGATTGCGGCGGGGAAGAAGAGAGAGAAAATGGAAGGCTCGGTTGATAACCAGTGTGGGACCGTTGTATATATATTTTTATTTTATTTGTTTGGAATTTTATTTTGTACTTAAAAGCTATAACCGTTAGGGTGTGTGAATGTAAATATTAGCTGTACAGCTTAACTAGAAAAACTAATCAGGGTTAAGGGAAGGTCATTAGTGAAACCCATCTTAATGTCAGTTAAACACTAACAGCATCTCTTAACTGAAAAACAACAAACAAACAAACGTCTCTAAACACCAATT